CCCACAGGGAGGTGAGCCAGCAGCCCCTCCTGCTAACGCAGCGCAGATGCCGTGTGCTCCGGCATCGCCAATCCGCTGAGGAACATCACAGCACGGCTGCTCGAGGATTCACACCTCTGCTTCCTAGTCAGCTGCTGCACCTTCCCTGGCAAGGGAAGGGATGAGAAAATGCAGCTGGAACATCAAACTGCTTAATGGGGTCTTCTGAAGCGTTTCATTTCATCAGAAATATTTGCGTGCATTGATCCCTGCATCGAGATATAAAAAAGCATGAAGAGGGATCTCGGTATTCAGAGCTCTCTTTAAATCCTGGTAGCTCTGCACAAAGAAACCGTGCATCACTGTCAGCACGTACCGGGGACAACAGCACCCAGCAAATCTGGGCTGTCAGAAGCCAGAACTGCCCTTACAAATATATCTGGGGTGTGAGAATTGCTCAGGAGACCTCGCCCAGCCTGTCACAGGCAGGATCCGTTCTGCTGCCCCAGAGGAGGTGGGTTTGAGCCGGACACTCAGTGCCTCTTGGCCGCAGCAGCCGGGAAAACCATCAGAGGATAAAACCAGGAGCACGTCCTCAGCACGTGGGTTGCCCCCTGGGAACACTGCTGCCCACCACCCCCATCCACTGGCACCCACAGCACTTACCCCCGGTCCCCGCGGAGAGGCTGCCATCCGCGGCGGGGCTGGCGGGGCTGCGGAGAGGGATGGGAGAGACGCTGTAGCAGAGCTGTCACCCCCAGGCCCTGCTGCTGCGAGCCCCCTCCAACCTCCCTTTTAGATTTTGGGGGTGAAACCAGCTCAGCGAGGTGGTTTTCCATCTCTCAGTCACTTATTTGACTTATTATTTGACTTTTTTCCAGTAAGACTGTTGCCCCGGGCAGGGAACGCAGCACATCTCCAGACCCACCCATTACTTTGCTGGGAATCAGGCTAACCGTCGCGGTTCCCTACGGCCACGCGGCGCTGCCTGAGTGGGATGCTCAATGAGACGTGAAAGTTTTGGGATACTGAAGGTTTTCATTGCTCTTCTGTTATTTCTTGTCACTCCCTTCATCTGTTCATGCATTCGTGCCCCGAAACAATGCGAGCTTGATCGTGTTTGTATTTGGCTGCTCAGCTCGCGCGCTGGCAAAGCCGAGCTCGCTGTGCCGCTGAGCCGCGGGTCCTTCCGAGCAGACCAGGAGCACAGATGTTCCATCTCTGCATCCACGTGATGCTGAGACCTTATTTTGCTTTCACCACCACATATACCCCAGCTATTTCACACTCACTGCTGTGCAGAGGAAAGCACCCTGTCTCCCTCATGTCCAAAATCCTGGGTTCTCTCAGTTAGGATGGTTCTGGTCATGGATAAAGAGATGGTGGATAGAACCACCAGCACCACCAGCAGCTGAGACAACAGAAGATGCTCTCAGCCTCCCCTGGCCAAACAGCAGCATGTTTTCCAACAGAGCATTACAAAAATTAACAAAATGCTCTTTGCAGCAGCTCGGGGCACAGGCTGGCTCTCATGCACAGCCACTCACCTCACAGCACAGCTCTGGGACCACCGCTGTGCTTCCCGAGCTCTCCCTGGTGCCACCAGGACCCCAGAGCCAGGGAAACACCACATATCTCATCCCCAGAAATCACCCTGCCAGGCATCTCCCCTCACCAGGCACTCTGCCCACACCCCAGCTCGCTTCCCCAAAGCTGAGGTGCACCAGCCCAGCGCCAAGCTCACCATCGGCACGCGCCCGCTTCTCCCCTCACCACACCACAGCTTCCTCAACATCCAGGTTGCCACCCACTGAAAGGCATCCAGGAAAAACCTCTTGAGAGCTCCAGGAAGGTCCCAGCTGCGATGCTGAGCCTGACCCAGCACCGCCAGACCCCTCCATTTCGCCTGTGAAGATCTCTGCTCTCAAGCCCTTACACCAGCAAACGCGGGACCGGCTGCAGCAAAGCCACGGTGCCACTGCCATCTCGTGGAAGCTACAGCAGCACTGGAGCTGGTGCTCCAACTCAACTTGATAGAAACTTGCTTCACTCCCATAACTCACAAACCAGCTCTCTGAAACTCGGGAAAGTCGTGTTTTTTCTCTCCTGAGCAGACACCAGTGCCACACTCTAGATTTTAAATGTCAGCGATCTGGAAAACACTCACTCGGCGCCGGCGTAGGAGGCTTCTCCGACTCGTCCCTGTCTTTACGTAGGATCTCCGCAGCAGTTACAAGATGTTCTTCTGAATCAGTGGAAACATGGAATTGGACAGTTCCAGACTCCACGTGCTTCCCCTGAAATTAGAAATGAAATTATTTTAGATAATGTGCTATACCCAGACTCCCTCAAACCTCCGAGAGACAATTCCTCGCCCTGCAGCAGAAGGGAGGGCGGTGGCAGCCAGAGGCAGAGCCAGCAAGGGGTTGAGCTTTAATAAGCTGATCAAATACCTCTGTCCTTGTAGGGACAAATACACAGACCTGCCAACTCCACTCACCACCACCTGGTACAGGGCTTTACTGAGCAAGGTCTGCAGACACCCACCCGTCCGTCCACCCACCCACCCATCTGTCTTTGCCCAGGGCACAGAGCTGCATTTTGTCCACCCCTCTGTGACTCCTTCACCCCAGCCCCAACCTCCTCGTGCTGATGGACACTTTGGAGCAAGGTCTTTACCTGCATGTGCATCACTCAGAACAAAACAGCAAGCGTGTCTGAGCACCAGCAGCATCCCCTGCACTCACAGAGCAGAGCCAAGCTCTTACCTGGTGGGAGCTCCTGCTGCTCGGCAGGGTCCGGTAGACCAAGGCTTGGCAGGGGCCGCGGTGGGCACCCCCACGCAGGGGCAGGACCACCTCTGCCTTGTTGGCACCTGGGACAGGGCTCCAGACAGCCCAGCGCACCGAGCGCATGTCGGTTGTCTCACTGTGGGAGCTGCTGGGCAGGAGCTGGGGGGGAAAGGGGGGAAGCAGGGTGAGCACTGGGCAGCCCAGCCTCACTGCTGGGATGGGGGAGTGGGTGCTGCCGGACAGACATGGGCTCTGATCTCCCACCCCACACCCAACATCAGCATCACAGAAACTGCTCCCCTTCCACCTGGTGACATTCCACTTTCCAGCACCTTATTTCTCTTTTTCCCCCCCCATTTTTGCTCCCACTGACTGCACCTTTCTGCTCCCATCCCTTTGCAGGCTCCGAGGAGCACCAGGAACACTTCTCCAATGGAGAAGGACACACTGGTCCCCAGGACAGGACCCAGTATTGCGAGACCTCTCAGTGAAAGAGCACAGAGCTGGCTTGCAGGGTTTCAAGGTTTGCTTCTCTTCCCCTCTGCCAGCAGCACTGCAGGCAGAACTGGCACCTTCCTATATGGTTTCACCTCCTCAAGGCTCACCACAACCTCACAGCCACAGCTGCACACAGGCAGAAACCCCGGGGCAAGCCCTGTACCACCACCCTTCCCAGGCAGATGCCCTTCCTTTGTCTTGCACTCACCCCCCCCTCACTCAAGCAGCAGCATTAAGGGATGTTATGTTTGACCCCCCAGCCCTGGCAGATGGCAAAGGCAGCGTAAAGGCTTCCACTTACCCAGGCACGTCCACAGCCTCCCCTTAAACCAAAAGAGAGGTGCAGAAGCAAAGTGAGAGGTCTCTACCAGCGCCTGCCATCACCCTCACAGCCTGCTAATTATGGCACAGAGGACACTGATCAGCTGGGCAAGCAGCTTTGGGATTAACCACCCTGCCCAAGGGCTGTGCCACGGGAATCAGCTCCATCATCGCCCTGGCCAGCGCTGCCAGCACAGCCACACAAATAGATCCCAGTCTGGAGCCCCAAATCTCCACAGGTCTTTGGGTTTCAGGTTTTTTTTAAAGGAGTTGAACCCAACACATAATTTTCAACATCAAGGCTCAGCTTCTCCTCCCCCCCCTCAATACAAATCCCTCTGGCCTGGCAGCCTGTCCCACTTTATAAACAACCATTTTTCCCCCAGTTTTCCTCTGGGCAGCTCTACCAAGAGAGGACACTTGCTGCCTTTTCAACGAGCATCTTGAAACAATGGGGACAATTAGTGCTTCCTAAGGAATCCATGGCCATCCATTCACCAGCTAATGGCTGCAATAGCAAAGGGTCTCAGGAGGGAAGGACTGGGCTCTCTAAATTGGGTTTCACCTGTGGAAAGCTTAAACTGCAATACTGGTGACTGGTAAGTAGGCGTGGACACTGCAATCAATACAGAGACTTCTCCTGGCTTTAAAGTCAGGAGAACATCAGGCTGAAGCTCCCAGAAAACGCTCAGCATTCAGAAAAGAGCAGGAGGGGTTAACTTCTTTCGAGCATAAATGTTAAATTCTAGGGGGGAAAAAAAGCCTTTTTTAAATTAAAAAAGCTGAAATTTTCCAAAGCAGCTTGGGCAGAACAGCACAGCACTGCTGCAGGCCATGGCTCTCCATATACAGACACAGAGAAGAAATGTCACCACACGTAATTAAAATGATTCAATAACCCATTCACAGGACATTTTGCACAGCGCTGCAGAAAGCACCTGGACACTTTGCCGGGCTGTTCATTAGGCAGCGTGGCCTCGTGACACGGAGCTGCTGCATCTTGGGGGTGTGGGATGGCAAAATGGGGGCAGAGGATGGAGTTCCTCAGTGGGGAAGGGACTTAAGGGACGAGTCGAGGTGCGTGGGGTCTCAGCCCTACCTTCCCATCAGCTCTCCCTGAGGAGCAGCAGACATACTCCAGCTGGAAGCAGACCCCGAACGCTGGGTGAGGGACCATCTCACTCAGGTGGATGCGGCTCCTCAGGACCAGGGCTTGATCTGCATCCCTGTGCCAGGATGGAGAAGGGGTTGTGGGCATCGCCGGAGGCAGGAGGGAAGCGGCATCACCAGAGGGTCCCCCCTTACCTGGCTACAGAGCCGGGCACCCCCAGGCAGCCACCCTGTGTCACCTCAGCCTCTGGCACCAGCACGGCCACCTGCGGCGCCCGGACGAAGCGCAGACCATTGTGGACACCGACGTGCAGCCGCCGTTCCCGGATCACCATCCCGTCACCGTCTGGCCCGGCGTTAGCCTGGGACAGGGAAGTTTTCCAGCTCAGGCAGTGAGGCAGCACAGGGTGGCTCAGCATCACCCCCCCCCCCTCCCCACACCACCCATGGCCACAGAATTCAGATAATCCATCAGAAACTCCAAAAAATGGGACCCACCCCCAGCAGCTGATGGATATTCAAATCTTTATGGCAGACTTGGTGCAAATCTGGCAAATAAAAGAGGGCTCAGACAGTGATCCTCACTGCACACTGAGCACTGCCCTTCCTAGAGACACACCAGCATGAGCACTGCATCTTATCTTTGCATTTTCCATTGCAGAATAAACCCAAATTCTGCTTTATTAGCATCTGGATGTTCAAAACAAACCCAACGCAGACAACCTGTGCTCTAAAACAGCAGTAAAGCAAAAGCCAGAGACCCCAAGTGAAACAAATACACCATGTCATTCATCTGAACCTTTCTGCTCTGCCCAAAAATGAAGTGCTCACACGCTGTGCTTTCCCCTTCCATAGCTGCAGCAGCACTACCTTCAGTAAGCGATCACTGTTCAGCAAGTCCAGCAGTTCTTCCTCAAATTCCTCCAGGGAGGGGTGCAGCCGGACAGACAGCCTCTCCAGATAGCAGGTGACCGGCTTCATCAGCTGGGGTTTCTGCAAGCAGTCACCTGAAAAGACAAGGTGGTGGCCACAGGTCATGCCACGGCCAGGGGGGACATTGCCAGGACCACGGGGGCACCCACAGCCAGACCTGAGCCAAAAGTGGCACCAAGGAGAGGCCGTGGCCACACACAGGCTCCCTGGCCACAGGGCCACCACCTTTATGTGGACGTGGGATGTTTACAGAGATGCACAGTGAGATGCTCCTGCCTCACCCAGCTTCCCCAGCACACACATGCCTTTACACCCATGAGAGGAACCAGAAACACCCAACACCTGTGGGTGGCAAAGGATGCAACCCCTTTATTTGACAAAGCCACGGCTGTGCTGAGGTGCCCTGCAGCACAGGACGCTGCCTCTCCCCTCTTCTGCTTTTGGGCAGCACCGGGGACGTGGTTGCTCTGCAGACCTCGCTCAGCTTTAACAGTTACACCCCTCAAATGGGCAGCAGTTGGGTTTTTCAGGTGGTAAGCTGAAGAATAATTCAGCAGCAGAACTGTGAGTACTTTTTACCCTCTGAAGCTTCAGATCATATAATTTTAATGGCAGCAGCTCAAACAGCAAGGCTGCTGCCCACAGGGAAAGATGAATGAGGGCTGAACGTGCAGGAGCTCGTCCCCCTAAACCTGCCAGACCCTGAGCCCCACCACCGAGGAGGATGACTTCAAACAAACTGCAAGAGCTTCTGCTAAGACTCCACTGAATGACTGTAATTAAACCAACCATCACTTATCCCCAGCAGCTTCCCAGGAGCAAAGCAATTAACAGACCAAAGCCATTTTGACATCTTTCAAAGAAGAGCCAGGATTGCAGGGGCCACAGCCCCACCAGCCCAACGGGGTGAGAGGCTCTTGCCAAGGAGCAGCGCTGCAGAGAACCCCTCGAGGTGCCCAGAAACTCCATGCCAGCACTCTG